CCCCAAAACCCCAAAACCCCAAAACCCCAAAACCCCAAAACCCCAAAACCCCTCTTAATAAGTGGTTGGTTGAAAATGAAATAGTGAATTATTTAGTATCTTTCTGACCTCTCTTTGGCTTGAAATTACCTCCTCTCTTCTTTTTCTTATAAACCTTTTCTTTGACTGGCATGAAGCCATCAGCATCCATATCTTGTTCTGGTTTTTTCTCTTGAGGGTTGTTATAATCTTCGTAGTGATAGTCTGATTGATGAATTTGGTAGTAATCTTTACCTCTTCCTCCTCTAAATGTACCTCTGCCTCTTCCACTCTCATAACTGCCTCTTGGGCCTCTTCCGCCTCTTCCACCTCTTCCACCTCTATAGTTAGGGTCATAAGGTTTGTTGTAGCCTCTTCCACCACGGTAGGCTCCTCTGGGGCCTCTTGGAGGGTACCCTCTGCTATATCCTCTTCCTCCTCTCTTATGGTAAGGAGCTGAATCGTAGAATTCTTTTTCCTTAACCTGGATATCCTTAGCTTCTGGGACTTCAGGAGTCTCTTTAGGTTCTGGAGTATTCTCCTTCTTTTCTTTCTCTTCTTCATCTTCATGATCTTCTTCACTTGAATCCTCGTTTTCGTCATCTTCGTCTTCATCTTCATCATCATTCCATAAGTCTTTTGGTTTAGTTTCTGGCTGCGGTTCTGGTTCTGGTTGTGGCTCGACTTGTTGCTCGTCTTGTGACTCAGCTTCGATATTCTCTACTACAACTTCTTTAGGAGTAGTATTTTCAGGAACATTTGGAGAAACCGCATTGGCTTCCTCTTGAGGCTCGATCTTGTGCTCTTCTGTTTGGTTTGGCTCAGGATCTTTGTGATCATCTTCCTTTGAAATCTCTACCTCATTTTTGGGATGAACTTGAGGAGCAGGAGTACTGAGTTGCTGCTCTTGCTGCACAGGATTTGTCATTACTGGGATTTGTTGCATTTTTTGTCCAGGCATCATATTTGGCATAGCTCCGTACATATTCATGCCCATCATATCTGCTCCTGAAGCTAATAACATATGACTAGTTTCATTGAATTTTTGATTGGTCAAAACACGGTCAAAAGATTCAGCCAAATTAGCATAAGTTAATGGTTCTTTTCCAGCTGCACTTTGTTGATTAGTATTTATCGGATTTTCAATTACATCAGTTGACCTATTCACAATTTTGAGGACTTTCTGTTTTAGGGATTCAGTTATCGATCCGAAATTAAAAGGTGTAGGAACATATGAATTTCCAATATAAATTTGCTTTATGGCAAATCACTCTTCTTCGGTGAAATAATCTGATCTCATAAAGTGAGGATTTAACATTACAAAAGAATCAACCCAGTATCCAAAAACATGGATCAAAGAATAATAATGAATTGCTCTTTCAATATCTTCAGTAGAGATTTCTGGCTCTTGAGCTTCAAATTCCTGTTTTGCTTGAGTAATTCCATCCTTCTTCCCATCTTCATAACCCTCTTTTCTACCTTCTTCATATCCGCTATTAATGCCGTCACTTCATCCTCTCTGGTATTCTTCTTTCTTAATGGCTATAATATCAATCTTTGGCTCTTCAACTTTTGTCTCTTGAACCTGAGGTTGTGGTTCTGTCTCCTCTTCCTTCATTACTTCTTCTTTTCCTTCTTCATGTGGTTGCACAGGTTGTTCAGGCTTAGTTTCCCTAATAAGCTTTAGATGTGCTTCAAAATTCATTGAATACTGTGAGGCGACAAAATCCATTTCTTCAAGCGAGGCGATGAGCTCGTCTTTCTTCTGAAGCATTTTGTTCTGTTCTTTAGTAAGAGTTGACCCATTTTGGATCTTTTCCTCTGTTTCAATAATCTTGTTCCATTTCTTAACATATTTCCTCATTCTGGAGTATAATGATTTGAAAAATTCGTCTTTGTCTGTAATCTGCGTGTGCTCTTCTTTGAACTTCTTGAGTACTTCAAATTGAGTACTAAAATCTTTGGTCTTCCCCATCTTGGATCGCACTAGTGATTATTTTATAAAATTATTATCATAAAGTCCTAGGAAGGGGTTTTGGGGTTTTGGGGTTTTGGGGTTTTGGGG